TTTTAGAAATATTTCAAGTTACTTCCAAATGGTGGAGAACCTAGCAGAACCTAGCTGCATTTTTAATTGTTTTAATTATTTTTTATTATATAAAAAAATCACAATTTTTATGTAGCCGAAAAATCTTTTAATGAATTTTTAAAAATCTAAGATTTTAGACAGGATGTTTTTAAAATATATTTTTAAAAATCCATTTTTTTTTTCAGGAAGATATTTTATAAAATCCAAAATTAATAAATATTCGGAAGGTCTTGGACAAACAGTGAAAACACCTTATTATTTATTTTATTTTAGCCCTTAAAAATTTCTACAAAGTCGTACAATATTCTTTTTTTAAAACTGTTATATGTCGTCCAAAGAATAATTATATGATGCCCTTGGCCTTAAGTGACCTTATAAAGCCCTTCTGTATGTAGAAGATTTTAATGGGTTTTTGTCTGTGGAAAAAATCTTTGGTTCAAAAAGAAATGTCTTCTAGTTGCAGAAGAGCCATTGAAGTTATTCTGTGTGTAGAGGGTTGTCTGTTTTCCTACGATTTCTAAAATATCTTCAGGCTATATCATACCCCTCAAAAAGTCTTTTTCCTATAGAAGACCCTTCAAAGGCATTAATTCATATATTTTGTTTTTATATTTTTATGCTGATATGTTCTACCAACATCTAACCCACTTGATATTATTTTCCCCTTTAGCCTTTATTCAATATAAATCAAAACTCGGCCACAACAACAATTTGCAAAAACATAAATATTATTTTTATGTCATATCGCAACTCAAAGTTCAGTCAAACAATTCTTTTTTTTTTTTGGAAATCAACAACAAATAACTTTTTTTTGGGAGGGGTTTCGAACAACATCAAACAAAGCGTTTGTATGTTATCCAAACAAACGACAACGCCAACAACAATAACAGTAACAATAATTTCTGGCCAATTGTTACGAACATATTGTCACACACTCAACACACACAGACACACGCTGGCATATGGGGACAATTGGCCTGCCTGTGTCTTTATCAACTCGAAATCATAACCGAAATATACATCAAAAATCAACAACACAACACAGGCCAATCCAATTCGAATGGTCTCTCTCTCTCTCTCTCGGCATTTTTTTCTCTCGTTGTTACAAACAAATAAACAAATTGGAATTGGAAAATAGAGAACTTTTAGCAAAAACAAAATTCGAACTATCACCATAACAACTATTGGGTCAAATACTTTGAGAATGAAACACAAAAAAGCTGAAAAAAACTATTCGTGTAAAACTCCAAATATTATGGCAATTCCAGAATGCCAGCAGATGAAAACAAAAAAATAGCGAGCTAGGTCTGTGAAAAGTTTTGGCATTTATTGTTTTCAATATTTTAGATAGTTTTGGAAAAAATGTTTTTTTTTTTTTGTCATTTTAAATAATTTGTGTTTTTGGCTGGATTTTCGGAGGATGAATGGGAAGGAATTAAAAAATAGAAACTTAGTAAGGATCTTTTAATTATTTTCTTAGATACGAATATAATTAACATATCCTTAATACAGGGTGATATCAAAAGATTGGCAACAACTTCAGACTGCTGTCATTTCTAAGCCACTCGTCCGACAGCTGTTAAAATTATTTCAGTGACAGCTAATTATATTGTTTACAAGCGTACAAAAGCATTTTGGTGAGAATTTTCCAGAAAAAAAGTTATTCGTGACGGAATTCAAGCGTGATGGTGTGATTTCTTTATATTTGGCTGGAAAACCACAAGTGTCTATCGTTAGACTCCACTCCAGCATTTAAATGTGAATAAATCTTTTGTGTCTCGTACCATCGCTCGGTACCGTAATACTGGTAGCGTAGCCTGACGTCAGACGGAAGTGGACGGAAGAAAACAGCAACATCAGCAGAAATGGTTCGAAAAATAAAGAAGCGACTTGATCGAAATCCGCGTCGCAGTGACTGAAGAATTGCTCGTGAGCTGAACATATCGCAATCTTCCATTCGAAAAATATTGAAAAATGAGTTCGAGGTAGAGCCATTGAAATTCCAAAAAGTGCAAGAACTTACACCGCAACAGAAAGAAAATAGACTCAAAAAGCTAGAGCTAGAGAGTTGCTGTACACCTTCGGTTGGCCACCAGAACTCAAGCGCCGGTCATGGTGATGGTGTGGGACGCCATAACAGCCGATGGTCGCTCATATTAATCGACCGTGGCATCAGAATGAAAGCCGAATATTATCGCGAAAATATTCTGGAGGGTGTATTAAAGCCTTGGACACGCAAACATTTTGGCCGCAGACCTTGGACATTCCAACAGGACTCAGCACCACCATCGCACTCAGCACGCCCCACCCAAGAACGGTTACAAAACTAGGTTCCTTGCTTCATTTCATTTCAAAATCTCCAGATACCAATCCGTTGGACTATTGTGTCTGGAGTATTTTGGAAAGCAAGGTTGGCACTAAAAAATAACAAAGTGTCGATCACCTCAAGCAAGCGCTTCGCCGAGAATGGACCAAAATACCGCAGGGCAACATTTGGGCAGCGTGTGACGGTTTCATTGGCCGTTTGAAGGTCATAATTCGTGTCAAAGGTGACCAATTCGAAAAATCTAAACGTATTCTAAAATTTGATGCTATTTCCGACATTTTTTGTTTTCATTCAATAAAATTTAAAAACAAATTTAAAAATTATGGCGTTTGCCTTTGTTGCATTTTTTTATCTCACCCTGTATTTGGTTCGATTTTCGGAGTATGAATGGAAAGGGATTCAAATATAGAAACCTTGTAAGGATCTTTTCATTGTATTCTTAGCTACGAATATAAGCAGAACATCTTTAATTGGTTTCAATTAAAGGAACTTCTGCTACAGATTGTCCATAAATTGAGGGCGTAAATAGGGCTCCTATAAATAAAACACCTTCTTTAGGCCCTACATGTCTTCCATAAATGTTGGATCTTACGTAGACCTTCTATAGACTGAAAATTGTTTACATCTCTCCAAGATAAAATATATTCTCTATGGATACGAACTAATTCTTAATTTTCTGAAGTTTTATATGGTCTTCAATGGGTCTTCATTATATGGAAGAGCTTCAAAGGCCTTCTTTATAAAAAGGCCTCCAATAGTTTTTTTTATAGATTTTATAATCTTATATTTCCTTGCCTCCTGAAACCTTCCGAAACAACCCTCGTTATTTTTTCAAACATGCTATTGTTAACATATCACAATTTCAATTCCTGGAAAACTTTTCCGTTACAATTTATTTTTCATCACAAAACCAAAAAAAACAAGTAAGCAAAGGCTACAGTCGAGCGGGGCCGACCGTTGAATACCCTACAACACTATAAGAAACGATACAGTTTATATAGGCGAGATACTCGAAAGAATTCCACAAGATATTGTGACAAATAATAAAAGAAAACCATCAGGTTCCGTTCTCTAATTTTCGAATAATAGCAACTTAAACTAATTTGCTCATTTCCAATTTATTGGTAGATGTTGCACGTAAATGGTCTTCCTATATCTGGAACCAATATTTCCCAAAGACCTATAATCTCTCAGAAGTGGCAAAAGATTAAAATTTATTATTGGGTTTTGACTGAAACGCATCTATATGAGATACAGACATTTGACTATATTCTTCAACGAAATAGTCAGAAGTGCGTCTTTCCTGTATTTGTGAATTCTCCAAAAAGTCACTGGAATGGACATTTTCGTATTTTGTCTATAAAAGTTGGCAAACTCCTTCACAGATTGAATATTTTTGGATGGCCATCCAAAATTGCTTGGCTTTTGCAATGTCCGGTAACCCCCATAATTACGACCTGCTGACAATGTTGCAGTTTTTTGGTCCATTTCAACCCCTAATTATATGGCTATCATCTCCAAAAAGAATAAGCTTTTATTCTGACCCTCATCTTATCTCCATGCAAAATTTCGGGCCATAAATGCGATCTGTATATGATATCCTGATATCCTAACTACTTAGTTTTGTTAGCTGTAGAAATATTTCCAAATGTTTAATTCAAAATGAAAATATGCCAAAAATATGACAAAATTGAAAAAATATGAGAAAATTTTACAAAATCAATATTTTCATCTTTAGAGAGACATTTTTATGCGATTTTTTTAGTCGTTTTTTCTTTCCTGCCAACAGGCCATTCTGAATTAATGAGAACTGTCGAAATCAGTTCAGCCGTTCTCAACATATAAGAGATTTTTCAAGCATATCTTCTTTGATAAACATATATATCGCACATATTTTGCTACATATCCGTTTTGTTGGATGTTAACATCAATGTAAAGATCAGAAGTAACCTTGTCATGGCTTTGTGATTTCCCCGGGATTTAAAATATTCGCGGTTTAATGAAAAATTTTGAATTTTTTCAACACAAAATATATGGTCTATTTTACCCGCTAAATATTATCCGATGACCACCCAAATGGGTAGGCTTCTTGCCAGCCCTAAACTCTAGCTACATGCGAAATTCCGCGTCGATTGGTCTATAATTGCGACCTGTAGAGCAAGTGCAAAATCAGGATTTTTTTCAGTTTTTGGTCCATTTCAACCCCTAAATATTATGCGATCATCACCAAAAGAAATAGGGTTCTATTCTGACCCTAGCCCCACCTCCATTTTAAATTTCGTGAAGATCGGACAATGATTGCGACCTGTAGAGTGATTACAAATTAACATGGACAGACGGACAGACGGACAGACGGACAGACGGACGGACGGACATACATAGCTAGATCGACTCAGCTCGGCGAGCTAGGAAGATCCATATATACTTTCCTATGTGGGAAATCAATATTTCGTGGTGTTACATAATTTTTGGCCCAATCAAACTTATAATACCCCCAACACATAGTGTTGTAGGGTATAAAAACTGAATTTTTCCAATGCAAAAATAAAATATTTTTAATTGAATTAAATAAAAAATCTAAGTTTTAAAAACTTTAATTTTCAAAAGTCTAATGAATTAAGTAATTAATTTGTGTGTTTCTCTGTATTTCCAGCAACTACCAACAAATCCAACATCTCGGCTATGCCGGTCATGAAATCGCCACCCAAAGTATTTCGCAACAACAAGGCTTGCAGGATAAGGGCTACGAGGAATGGGTTGGCGAAATGATTGGTATGCGTGAAATTTTGCGTAACTTCGCCAATGTGTCGGTCAATGAAGTTGTCGGTATGCGTGCCCCATTCTTGAAGCCCGGCCGTAATACACAATATAAGGTGAGTCCGGGTTTTGTTTTTCTTCAATAATTATAAAAGAAATTATGATATTATTAAAAAAATCAATAAAAAAGACCTAATGGAAAAAACATCCAGAGCAAAGTATTTACGCGGGGAGGGCTATGGGACCCCGTCCCCCTAGAGAATGGTTACTTTTCTGACGTTTTTTTTTTAATTTTCCATGGAAATGCCAATAATTTGCCAGATTTCCCCCCGCGATAATTTTGAAAAGCATTTCTCTGTAGAACAATGCGGAAGTACGAAAAATTAGACAGAAAAAGGGTGGAAAGTTAATAAATGCTAGGGACTCTTCAACATGTCCTTATATTATTACTAATATACCTTCATATCTCAATTCCGAACATCAACAGGGACCTCAATAAAAAATTTGGGGATATCCGATTAATTCCTTCACCCAATAACCAATTTAGTACTTTTCATACTTATATGGCACACATTTTCAAACATAATCTCAAGCAAGATACCATCAGTAACCTAAATTGCATATTTCAGAATTTTATCTCTATCCATTTACCCAGTACGATTTAGTACCATTAAGTATTTTTCGCTATCCATTCACGTAATACCAAATGGCACAATGCTTTAAAGATTCGTACTTTTTAGAGCCTTTCGTATCCTTAAACTTCGAATTTCAAAAAACCCTTTGGTATCCTGAGGCTGGATTCTTGTTCTATGAAAATATGAAATGAAAAATATTTCCTTTATAAAATTTTTCATTTCAGATTTCTTTCCTTTATAAAAGTTTTCATTTCACATTTTCATAGAACAAGAATTGAGTCCATCAATTTGTCCAACACAAAGTATTCAATTTTTAGTACGTTTTAGTACTTTTCGTAATCTTTTAGTACGAATTTCCATAAAACCTGGTTTCGTACCTTTTGTATCCTTTTTCATGCTTAGCCGCAAGACTTACTCTCGAGAAAATTTTCAAGATTCCTGCTTTATCCGTTCACCCCAGAACAAAACTCCAAATTTAGTACCATTTAGCAAGGTTTACATATTTCCAAAACCACCTGCAACAAAGTCAACCGCCAAAATTTTTACATTTTCTTATTAAATTTTATTGAATGAAAGCAAAAAATATCGGAAATAGCATCAAATTTTAGAATAAGTTTAGATTTGTTCGAATTGGTCACCGTTGGCACGAATTATGGCTTTCAAACGGCACCCGAACGCTGCCCGAATGTTACTCTGCGGCATTTTGGCCCATTCCCGGCGAATCGCTTGCTTGAGGAGATCGACACTTTGGTATTTTTTAGTTCCAACCTCGCTTTCCAAAATACTCCAGACACCATAGTCCAAGGGATTGGGATCCGGAGATTTTGGTGGCCATTGTGCGCTAGAAATGAAGCGAGGAACCTCATTTTGTAACCATTCTGGGGTGGCGCGTGCTGAGTGCGATGGTGCTGAGACCTGTTGAAATGTCCAAGATCTGCGGATAATATTCGGCATTTATTCTGATGCTACGATCGATTAATACGAGCGGAGAGCGACCATCGGCTGTTATGGCGGCCCACACCATCACCATGGCCGGCGCTTGAGTTCCTCTAGCCAACCGAAGGTGCAAGTAAACACGATCGTTTTGTTTGTTTACAAACTGCTGGACAGCAAATGTTTTCTCATCGGAGAAAACCAAATTCGCCAGTTTACCACTTTCGGGCAAGCGAAGCAACTCTTAACTCTTTTGAGTCTATTTTCTTTCTGTTGGTGTTCTGGTTTAAGTTCTTGTACTTTTAGGAAATTCAATGCCTTTACCCCGAGTTCATTTTTCAATATTTGCCGAATGGAATATTGCGATATATTCAGCTCACGAGCCATATTTCGGCAACTGCGACGCGTGTTTCGATCAAGTCGCTTCTTTACTTTTCGACCCATTTCTGCCGATGATGCTGTTTTCTTCCGTTCACTTCCTTGACGTGGGGCTACGCTGCCAGTATCTCGGTAACATGGAGCGATGGTACGAGGTGCAAAAGATTTATTCACATTTAAATGCTGGAGTGCTCTAACGATAGCCACCTGTAATTTTCCAACCAATTATAAAAAAATCACGCTATCAAGCTTGAATTCCATCACGAATAACTTTTTTTCGGGAAAATTCTCACCAAAATACTGAAGTTGGTTGCAGTTTTTCCATCTCACCCTGTATAGATAACAAGGGAATATTAAATACGTCCCTTCGTTGGTAACCTCGAAATATTACTTTGAGACCCCAAATGTAAATCATCCATTTTTATACCCTTAACCACAAGGTGGTCAGGGTAGTATGTCTTCGTGCATTTGTTTGTGACGACCCAAGGACGAACCCTATTGAAATTGAAGATAATCGGTCAAAATTTAGATATAGCTCCCATATATATCTTCGTCCGATTTGCCTTTTATTGTGCACCAAACATGTAATATGAGCCCGAATAGTATGGAATTTTGCACATACAACCAAATTAGGTCTAAAAATAAGTATGCCAAATTTGATCGAAATCGGCTCAGATATAGCTATAGCTCCCATATATATTGTTCATCCGATTTGTTATTTTTGTCCTCCGAAGTCGTAATATGCAATCTGTAATAACAATATTTGGGGAAATAAATCAAATCCAGCTCTGAAATACCTTTGCTAAATTTTATCGAGATCGGTTCAGATTTGGATATAGCTCCCATATGTAACTTCGTCCGATTTACCTTTGATTGTGCACCAAACGTCTAATATTTGCCCAAATGGGATGAAATTTGGCACTTACGACCGAATTGAGTTAAGAAGCTAGTATGTCAAATTTGGTGAAGATCGGTTCAGATATAGCTATAGCTCCCATATATACTGTTCATCCGATTTGTTATATGTGTTACCCACAACCGTAATATGCACTCTGTAACAACTATATTCAGGGAAATATATCAAATACAGCTCAGAAATACCTTTGCTAAATTTTATCGAGATCGGTTCCGATTTGGATATAGCTTCCATATATATCTTTATGCGATTTCAAATTAATTTTGCACCAAATGGGCAATATAAGTCCGAATTTAGAAGATACAAATGCTTCGGCATATTTAGTCCTTTGAACTTTAAATTATAATTATGATAATAGCGTGTATGATTGAATTCTCCCATAAAAAATTTCAATTGTTATGCGGAGCTCTACTAAATTAGCAAAGTGGTGTAGGGTATCATAATGTCGGCCCCGCCCGACTTTAAGACTTTCTTTACTGGTTTCATTCTCACTACCCCCCACACAGTAATTAATTTCATTCTGCCTTTCTTTGATAAAATTATCACTTTTCTACCCTCCCACCTCTCCGTCTCTCCCTTTTTCTCTCCTTGCTAGTGAACATCCCTGGCAAATTAATAAACACTTAGGAAAACTCATCAGATTTCAATATTTCCATTTCCTTTAAAGCCAACAAAGTGGCTGCCTTTTGACAAGGCTGAAAATAAGAAGCATTTATTTACAGCCCTTTTCATTTGTAATTCCAATTTTACATGCGCTCGCTCTGAAACCACATCTGAAGGACGACAGATAAGAAAGCTCGCTACATGAAGAAAAAAAAATACATACGCACACAAACAAAAAAAGGAAACGAAAACCAATGACATGGTCTTGAAATCCTTGTTAAAGAAACAACGATTGCAGCGATTCACAGATGTTCACTCGATTTTTACTCAAAAAGCTGCAAACAGTGGTGGTCAAAATCAATGGGACATGGGAGATTTTTTTTTCCGAGCAAAACATTTTTATATTCTCAGCCATATGTTTAGAGAGGGTGTATATCATTTGATACGGCCAAAACGTGGGTTTAGATCCGAAATAACGGTTTTATATCCTATGTCTCTTTGGACCAAAATCGTTTCCGTCTGTCTGGCTGGTGCGCACGATAACTCTCGAAGGGATTATCCGATTTGGTCCAAACTTGGTACATTGTAATATTGTTATTAAACTTAGATCGGGCTCAGAGATGGGCAATATCGGTCCACTCCTACCTGTACCTCCGCCACAAAAGTTTGAAATTTTCAACAAAAATGTTTTACTGCACAGAAAGATAAAGAATATTCCGATTTTGCTCTAAATTTACAAATTCTAATTTCGCTATTTCAGGTGCGAAATCGGAAAATATCGGTCCACTCCATCAAGTACCTCCCCCACAAAGGGTCAACATTTTGAATAATTTTAACTCTTATGAAATGTAATGTAAGAGTCCGATTTTCTTCCAATTGCAGACATTACAATATTTTCATTTACCAAAGGCCTGGTGGGAAAATATAATATATAGGTCCATTTCTTCTGGTACTTCCCCCCAAAGGGTCGAAAAATTTTAATACCCATGTAGCTCATAAAAAGCGAAATTAACATCAAATTCCATTCATACTTCGTACATCTCAATATTTCCATTAACACAAGATCTGCTGTGAACATGGGATATATCGGTAAACCCTTTGTGATACCTCACACATCCCATTATACTGCTGTAAGGATGTAATATATCGGTCCATTCCTTCTGGTACCTCCCCACAAAGTTTTGAATAAGCAAAACGATTATAAACCCGAAATAAGCATCCGGTTCTTCTCATATTTCACATATCCCATTATTTCTACTAACACAAGATCTACTGTAAAGATAGAATATATAGGTCCACTCCTTTGGTTACCTCCCTCACAAAGGGTCTAAATGTTGAAATTAATGTCAGATTCCATTCAGACTTGGCACATCCCTATATTTCCATAAACACAAGATCTGTTTAAAAGATGGTAAAGATCGGACCATTTCTTCTGGTAACTTCCCCACGATTATGAAATCGGAAATAAACACCTGGTTCTCTTCATATTTCACACATCCCATTAGTTCTACAAACCCAAGATCTGATGTGATGATGATGAATATCTGCGAACCCCTTCGGGTACCTCACCCACAAAGGGTCACAATTTTCAATACTCGTGGACAATATTGGCCCATACCTTTGGAACCTACTCCATAGAGGTTCAACAATTTAAACCAGTAAAGAAAGTCTTAAAGTCAGGCGGGGCATATTACGGTTGTGGGTAACAAATATAACAAATCGGATGAACTATATATATGGATGCTATAGCTATATCTGAACCGATCTTCACCAAATTTGACATACTCCACTCGGTCGTAAGTGCCAAATTCCATCCCATTTGGAAAAATTTAGACGTTTGGTGCACAATAAAAGGTAAATCGGATGAAGTTATATATCTGAACCGATCTCGATAAAATTTAGCAAATGTATTTCTGAGCTTTATTTGATATATTTCCCCAAATATTGTTGTTACAGAGTGCATATTACGGCTGCGGAGGACAAAAATAACAAATCGGATGAACAATATATATGGGAGCTATAGCTGTATCTGAACCGATTTCGATCAAATTTGGCATACTTATTTTTAGGTCTGATTTGGTTGTATGTGCAAAATTCCATACAATTCGGGCTGATATTACACGTTTGGTGCACAATAAAAGGCAAATCGGACGAAGATATGTATGGGAGCTATATCTAAATTTTAACCGATTGTCTCTAATTTCAATAGGGTTCGTCCTTGGGCCAAACAAATGATATGTGCAAAATTTCTTCTGGATCGGGCAGTAAATGCGACCTGTACTTTCTTTACAAAAATGCATGGACAGACGGACGGACGGACATGCATAAACCGACTCAAAATGCGATTCTATGCAGATCATCAAAAGGAACTACGGGTCTATCTCGTTTCCTTTTGCCTGTTACAAATAAAAATCATAACAGAATTCAAAATATATTTAAATAATCGAACATTGGCTGAGGGTATAGAGGGTAAAAAACAACCAAAAAGTTTCAATCGTTTGAAACTTTTTGGTTGTTTTTTTTTTTTTAATTTACCTAATGTGAAATAATGAAAATAGTTCTCTTTCCAATATTTTCTTCACCACTGTATTCTACCCAGTCCATATATATTTGCATATCCAATAACACATATATGTCCTGTCATTGAAAATGTAAAATTTAATGGAATATTCTCTTGAAGAGAAAAGCAGGCAATGTCCTTACATCCTGAATTCGTAGTTGAGAACATATCACTCTCGCCTCTTGACGGGATGGTCACATCATTGGCGACAATGATAATTAAAAATACATTAACCGCCATAATGAAGAAAGGTAATGACAAAATACAAAAAGGGAAAGAGGAGGAATCAGTTTCAAAAAAAAATATATATATAACAAAAGGAAGGCTTTCGCCCCTCCCATTACAGCAAGGATACTATATTTCATGATAAAGCCAACATTTAAATTTCAATATCCTTGACCATGGTATTAAGGGACAACATTCGAAAGATTCACATAAGGCTAAACGATCTTTGACCGTTCATATATGGCTAGAAGATTTTCGACAAATTTTCTATGGCTGGATATACCTTCTCTGGCTGGAAATCCTTTAACTGGGCTTCTGAGGCTAGAAGACCTTTGACAAGTATTTTGTGGATAAAAAAACCTTTGACAGGTCTTCGCCGACTAGAAGAGGCAGACGGGCATTGAGATATTCTTTGTGGCGAGAAGACCTCGACAAGAAGAAGATCTTCGACAAAATTTTCTATGGTTGGATATATCTTCTCTGGCTGGAAATCCTTAAACAGAGCTTCTGAGGCTAGAAGGCCTTTGACAGGAATTTTGTTGATAAAAAACCTTTGACAGGTCTTCTCCGACTAGAAGTGGCAGTAGACCAATGAGATATTTTTTTTTTTTTTTGTGGCTAGAAAACCGTTGACAAGGCTTCTGTGACAGGAAGGACCTTCAAAAGCTCTTCTAAGCCTTAAAGACCTTTGACAGTTCCTCTATATTTAGAAGACCTTAGGCACCTCTCCTCTAGCTAGAAAACCTTTGGCAGATCTTCTCTGGCTAAAAAACCTTTGAGAAGTCATCTTAGGCTGGAAGATCTTTTGGCAAGTCTTCACTGCCTAGAAGACCTTTAACTTTAAACAGGGCTTCTGAGGCTAGAAGACCTTTGACAGGTATTTTGTGGATAAAAAACCCTTTGTCAGGTCTAGTCCTCTTAGGTTGGAAGACCTTTGACAGGTCTTCTTAGGATAGAAGGCCTTTGACATTCCTTCTACGATTGGAAGATCTTTCACAGGTCCTCTACATTTAGAAGACCTTAGCCACCTCTTCTCTGGCTAGAAGACCTTTGGCAGATCTTCTCTGGCTAGAAAACCTTTGAGAAGTCATCTTAGGCTGGAAGAACTTACGACAGGACCTTTGAATAGTCCTCTTAGGTCTTCTCCGACTAGAGGAAGAAGACCATTGAGATATTTTTTGTGGCGAGAAGACCTCGACAAGTCTTCTATGACTACATGACCGTTGACAAGGCTTCTGTGACTAGAGGACCTTCAACAGGTCTTCTAAGCCTTGAAGACCTCTGACAGTCTCTCTATATTTAGAAGACCTTAGCCACCTCTTCTCTGGCTAGAAGACCTTTGGCTAGATGGCCGTTGACAAGGCTTCTGTGACTAGAGGACCTTCAACGGGTCTTCTAAGCCTTGAAGACCTTTGACAGTTCCTCTATATTTAGAAGACCTTAGCCACCTCTTCTCTGGCTAGAAAACATTTGAGAAGTCATCTTAGGCTGTTAGACCTTACGACAGGTCTTCACTGCCTAGAAGACCTTTGACTAGTCCTCTTAGGTTGGAAGACCTTTGACAGGTCTTCTTAGGATAGAAGGCCTTTGACATGCCATCTACGATTGGCTAGAAAACCTTTGAGAAGTCATCTTAGGCTGTTAGACCTTACGACAGGTCTTCACTGCCTAGAAGACCTTTGACTAGTCCTCTTAGGTTGGAAGACCTTTGACAGGTCTTCTTAGGATAGAAGGCCTTTGACATGCCATCTACGATTGGAAGATCTTTCACAGGTCCTCTACATTTAGAAGACCTTAGCCACCTCTTCTCTGGCTAGAAGACCTTTGGCAGATCTTCTCTGGCTAGAAAACCTTTGAGAAGTCATTTTAGGCTGGAAGAACTTACGACAGGACCTTTGACTAGTCCTCTTAGGTTGGAAGACCTTTGACAGTTCTTCTTAGGATAGAAGGCCTTTGGCATGCCTTCTACGATTGTAAGGCCTTTCACAGGTTTTATAGAGCTAGAAGACCTTTGTCAGGTCTCATGAAGCTAGAAAAGCTATAATAAGTCTTTAATGGCTAGAAAACCTTTGACACCTTTGGAAACCCTTTAAAATAGCTAAAAAAACAAAATTTCAAAAAGACGTCTATCTGACTAAAGGGTTAACTTGAGTTTTCCCTGTCATCCCATTTCTTTTTTCAATCCTGCCTCCTAATACTCTAACCATTAATTCTTTAAAATTTACTCATAAAATTTCTCTCTTTCTTTTATAGGTCTTGGAAGATTTCGGTTACATCTATGACAGTTCGATTACCGTGCCGCCAGTACCCGTACCGGTTTGGCCCTACACTTTGGACTACAAAATCTCGCATGAATGCAAGAGCGGTACCTGCCCCTCAAAGACTTTCCCCGGTGTTTGGGAAGTCCCCTTGAACACCCATTACGTTGAGGGTTATGAAGGTGGCCACTGTCCATTCTTGGATCAATGCGTTCTCCACAATTTGGATGAAAATGAAGTGTTCGAATGGTTGCAAGAAGATTTCTCACGTTACTATGAACAGAATAAGGCTCCCTACATGATGCCAGTGCATACCAATTGGTTCCAGACCAAACCTTTGGAAAATGGTCTTCACAAGTTCTTGGATTGGGCTTTGGAACTGTGAGTATTGAATTTGTTTTAAATTTAAATAATAAATTAAAAGAAGGATGCTATGCAATTTTCCAATCCACGGAAAATAATCCTCGTTTTTCCTTTTTTTTTTTTTGTTTTTCTCTCTCAACTTGGAAATCCCTTGGAAATTTCTATAAAACAAAACCCAAATCCGCAAAATAACCGGTGTGAATGACGACTGACCACCAATGTAGTTTGCGCAAAAAAAAAACAGGGAGGTGGCAATAAAGGATGCAAAAGAAAAACAACAACAACAAAAAGCGCTTGCCCGTTTTAATGAGAAAAGTTTAATTTAGTTAAATATCCAGTTAGTTTTTCCTTTGCTTTATTCTGTCCAGAAAACCACCTGCAAAATGGTTGGAAAATGAGATAAAGAGAAATAAGGAAGAACAAAAAAAGGAGGATGGGGGAAAAAGAAGCATCGAATGGAAAAAATTAAAGGACTCCAAAAGGCTCTTTATGGAAAGAACACCTTTAGCAAGTCTTCTAGCCACAACAGGCCTTCAATAGATGGAAGACCTTAAATGGGTCTACTATGGCTAAAATACCGAGTCCAATACGGTTGGATAGTTCTTAAATTGTCTTCTTTGAACATAAGGCCAACAAAAATTTCTTCTACAAACAGGGAACCCTTAACAGTTCTTCGATGGCATGAAGACCCCTGAAAAGCCTATTGTGGTTTGAAGAATTTTGATCGGTCTTTTATGCCTAGCAGATCATGGACAGGTTTTTTATAGACAGAAGACTTCTGACAAATCTTTAGCTGGATGGAGAAGTTTGAGGGTCATCTGTGATTTGAAGTCCTCTGAAGAGGAAACAATGTTACTAGTCTTCTAGACTAGAAGATCTTCGGCAAGTCTTATGTCACTAGGGACCTTTGAGAGGTCTTCTTTGCTTAGAAGACCTTTAAAAGGTCTTCTTTGACTAGAAGGGCTCTTATATAAACTAGAAAACCTTTGACAGTTATTCAGAAGCATAGAAAACTTTAACAGATCTCCTGAAACTAGAAGACCTTGACAGGTCTCCTGAGATCTTGGCAGGTCTCAAAAGGTCTTCTACGGCTAGAAGACTTTTAGCAGGTCTTCAATGCCTAGAAGACCTTTGGGAGGTCTTCTGCGACAAGAAGACCTTTAAGAGGTCTTATCTGACTAAAAAACCTTTGACATAGCTTTTATGGCTAGAAGATCTTTGACAGGTCGTCTATGGACCTTTCAGAGGCCTTCTATCACTAGAAGACGCTAGAGGGGAGTCGAAGACCTTAGATTGGACCTCTATGACTAGAAGACTTTTAAGGGGGTCCTCTACAGCTAGAAGTCCATTGAGAGATCTTCTATGAGTCGAAGACCTTAGATTGGACCTCTATGACTAGAAGACTTTTGAGGGGGTCCTCTACAGTTAGAAGTCCATTGATCTTCTATGGCTAGAAGACCACTTACAGGCCTCCTACGGCATTAACAGGTCTTCTATGACTAGAAGACTTTGGAGAGGCCTTCAATGACTAGGAGATCTTCAACAAGCCTTCTCTGTCTAGAAGACCTCTGACAGATCTACTCTAGCTAAAAGACCTTTGACAGATCTTTCTTGGTTAGAATACCTTGACAGATCTTCCCTGGTTAGAAGTCCTTTTGTTAGAAGTCCTGTAACAGGTGTTCTGAGAATAGAAGACCTCTATCACCTGTAGATAAAATACCATTGACAGGTCTTCTCTGACTAGAAGACGTTTGAAAGGTTTTCTTAGGCTAAAATGCCTTCGGCAGGTCTTCCGTAGCTAGAAGACCTTTAACAGATCTTCTATAGCTAGAAGAAGACCTTTGACAATAAATATACGGCTAGGAGACCTTTGTCAGGTCTTCTCAGGCTAGATAAGACTTCTATGGCTATGACCTTTAACAAGTCTTCCCTTGTGGAAAGACCTTTGACAGGTCTTCTGTAGGTGGAAGACTTTAAACAGTTCTTTTATAGGTGGGAGTCCTTTTTGAGACTAGAACATCTTTAAGAGGACTTATCTGACTAGAAGACCTGACAGGTTTTCTGAGTCTAGAATGCCCCTAACAGACCTTCCATAGCTAGAAGACCCTTGACAGGGCTTCCATAGCTAGAGGACCTTTGACAGGACTTCCAGAGCTAGAAAACCTTTGATAGGACTTATCTGGCTAAAAGACCTTTGATAGGACTTATCTGGCTAGAAGACGATTGGCAGGTCTTGTGAGTCTTGAAGACCTTTGGTAGATCCTCTATAGCTGGAAGCCTTTTGACAGGTCTTCCAAAGCTAGAAGACCTTTGTCTTCTCTGTTTAGGATACATTTTGCAGGTTTTCTGATGCTAGAAGACCTTTGACAGGACTTCCATATCTAGAAGACCTTTGACAGGACTTACCTGATTAGATGACCTTTGGCAGGTCTTCTGAGCTTGAAAGGCCTTTGGCAGATCTTTTATAGCTGGAAGGCTTTTGACAAGTCTTCTCTGGCTAGAAGACCTTTTGCAGGTCTTCCATAACTAGAAGACGTTTGACAAGAATTATCTGGCTAGAAGACCTTTGGAGGTGTCCTATTTCTAGAAGATCTATGACAGGCTTCCTGATCCTTTGGTAGGTCTTCTCTGGTAAGTCTTTTATAACTTTGAGAGAACCTTTAAGATGTCCTTTGGCAGCTATTCCATCGTTAGCAAAAATTTGGTAGGTCTTCTATGGATCGAGGACCTCTGAGAAGTCTTCTGGACATTTGGTAGGCCTTCTCTGGCTGGAACGCAATTAACAGGACTTCAAAGGCTAAAATACCTTTGAGAGGTCTTATATGACTAGAAGACCTTTTAGAGGACCTTTAAGAGGTCTTCAGGACGTTCGACAGGTATTCTATGACTAGAAGATTCTTGGTAGGTCTCCTACCACGAGTACACGTTTTTAGGTATTCGATGACGAAAATAACTTTTGTAGGTCTTCTATGAAGAGGCAAGCGTCTCAAATTTCTGGGCCGACCTCGTTTCCTATTTAAGTTCACAGGACAATGATGGACAACAACAACAACCTTATTATTTTACATTATTTCTCTTTATCTCATTCTCCTCTATCTTTGTGTTTATGTGGAGATTCTCTAAACCGGATGTTACAACCAAAAGCCGCCATGTTAAAAATGTTGGGTTTTTGCTCGGCAAGCTTCGTAATAAAGTTATGCTTGCCAGCCAGTTTAATATCAATACCGTGACCAATGCTTACTTTAACTGTTTACATGGTGAAGGTTATGGTTATCCATCCAGCTGAGATGAAATGGCTAGGGTCAGGCATGGAGTTTAGTTATATTAATGTAGTTAAGTATCCTGTGTGCGATACAGGTTGTTAATATTTAAAACAAAAGTGATTGGAATGGGATGGTAACTCTTTTTAATGAGTTTCGTTATTCTCCCATGGAAGGAATGGAGAAAAGAAGAGGTGTTCCATAAACATAATTTAAATACGCAGACTTTGATTCAAGATTTTACCCTTACCCCAGTTTCACAACCTGCAAAAATCAACTAGTTTCGAATTTTTCTCGATATCATAAAGGAAAAATCGGTTACTAATTTCAGGTTCTGCTATTCCCTGACTCTACTTCCAAAATTGGTTCAACTTTCCTCCTTGGATACTTGCTCCTATATAGTATACTCAATTCTATTTTCCAATATTTATTTCATATTTTTTCCACCATCTAATCACTGCTTTTTCCCCTTCCCCCTCTGTTTACAGTCCCGACGTCTATGTCGTTACCATTTCTCAGATGTTGCAATGGATGACCGACCCTAAGGACACACGTGATGTCAATCAAATCGATTCGTGGAAATGTGATAAGAATGTTGCTGTCGCCTCGAAACCCTGCAACATTTGGAACACCTGTGCCCTACCCTTCAAGATTCCCGAACAGAATATCACCGATACCCGTTACATGGAGACATGTCGCGAATGTCCCAATGTCTATCCTTGGTTGGGCGATGCTGGCGGTACTGGTATTCAGGGACGTGACAGCTACATTTTTTCAGGACCCATTCAGGATGCTGATGGTGATGCTGTCGATGAGTAAAGAGCGCTGACCTCTGTAAAAGAATTAACTTTCGTGAGATTGAGTTAAAATGTGCCACAACGTCAATCTGCAGAATTTTTTTGTTTTTCACTTTTTTATTCTTTGAAATTTGGCAGAAATTTTAATTTTTGAGTCATTTTTTCTGTTTTGTAAATTTTTTTAAGTTTTCATACTTTTCAAAAATTTGTTTTTATTTAAATATCCCTTCTTTACTCCGTTGTTTGATTTTTTTCTTAAATTCAATACAAAAAAAAAAGGATAGTTTTTAAGTAATTAAAGAATCGTGTCAACTTTATTAGCCAATAAGTTATCGATAATAAAGTTTAATTTTTTATAAAAAATATACTTTGAAATTTATTTTTTCTACTATGGCGTAGATAAGAACAAATACTTCTTGGCACGAATTATGGACTGCGAAAAACCTGCAAATTGGTTACGATGACCAACACTGGTATCAAGAGTGACATAAATCAGAGTTTTCAAAAACTCAACTTGAAGGAAAGACATGTACTGAGGTCGGTACTGTTATTATAGGTTATATGGGTAAGAGCGTGACATTTGAAAGGACGAAACAAGGACATATTTTTTTAACAGTACGGAAAGTATTGAAGTTGCAAAATTTTTGAGTCATTATGGTTCAAGGTGGCACTCAAGCCAAAACTTTTGCACAAAGATAATTGCTGGAGCGAAAAGGTACGTTTTTTTTGACAGAACTAAATACATGGCGAAGTAAAAAAATTGCCACAAAGTCAAGCGCCATAATTTTTTTTAATTTTATTGAATGAAAGCAAAAAATGTCGGAAATAACATCAAATTTTAGAATAAGTTAAGATTTGTTCGAAATGGTCACCTTTTGGTACGAATTATGGCCTTCAAACGGCCAATGAAACCATCATACGCTGTCTGAATGTTGCTATGCGCTATTTTGGCCCATTTCCGGCGAAGCGCTTGGTTGAGGTGATCGACACTTGGTATTTTTTAGTGGCAACCTTGCTTTCCAAAATACTCCAGACACAATAGTCCAATGGATTGGTATCCGGAGATTTTGGTGGCCATTGTGCGCAGGAAATGAAGCGAGGAACCTCATTTTGTAACCATTCTTGAGAGGTGCGTGCTGAGTGCGATGGTGCTGAGTCGTTGGAGTTGGAATGTCCAAGGACTGCGGCCAAAATGCGTGCGTGACCAAGGCCTTAATACACCCTCCAGTATATTTTCGCGATAATATTCGGCATTTATTCTGATGCCATGGTCGATTAATACGAGCGGAGAGCGATCATCGGCAGTTATAGTGGGCCACACCATCACCATGGCCTTCGCTTGAGTTCTGGTGGCCAACCGAAGGTGCACATTTTCAGCTAACCTCTTTGGCAAGTAAACATGATCATTTTGTTTGTTAACAAACTGCTGGACGACAAATGTTTTCTCATCGGAGAAAACCGAATTCGGAAGTTCACCACTTTCGGCCAAGCGAAGCAACTCTTTAGCTCTTTTGAGTTGCTGTGTAAGTTATTGCACTTTTTGGAATTTCAATGGCTTTACCCCGAGCTCATTTTTCAATATTTGCCGAATGGAATATTACTATGCGATATGTAGAGCTCACGTACCATTTATCGGCCACTGCGACGCGGAAAATTCTCACCAAAATGCTTTTGTACGCTTGTTAACAATATAATGAGCTCTCACTGGATTACTTTTAACAGCGGTCGGGCGAATGGCTTAGAAATGACAGCAGTCTTAAGTTGGTTGCAGTTTTTCCATCTCATTCTGTACATATATCTACTGGAATCCTGAAATTTTAAATTAACATAACTGGCGGAGTGTAGGTTTGAGATATGGAGAAAGTTTTCGAAATTTGTACTAAATTGTACTATAACGTACGAAAAGTGCAAAATGCCACAAAATGTGTCGTTGGGTGTGGGTATAAAGATTAAATTCTGAGATTTGGTATCGAGGTCGCTGTTGGTGTCTAAGGTGAAGAGAAGGAGATAGGTTTGGAAATGTGTAATATAATTGTATAAAAACTACTAAATATTGTTAACTTTGGATAGAGCTGGAATTCTGAAATTTGATATTGAGGTTTCTGTGGTATCTGGTATTTAGTTTTTAAAATGTGTACTATAATTTTTCGAAAAGTACTAAATGGTACTAATTTGGCATTGCGTGAAGATGTAGGAATAAAATTCTGAAATTTGATATTTATATAACTATCGGTTATGAGGTTGAGATTTGAAGGTGAACATAAAGCTGAAATTTGCAAATATTAGAATTTCCAAGTTGGACCAAAATTCATTTCTTTTTTAGTGCTGTAAAATATTTTTTTTTTTTTTTTTCAAAATGTCCACCATTTGTGGGAAGAAGTTGACCGATATTGTCCATCTCCGAACACGATCTAAGTTTGATAAAAATATTATGATGTACCAAATCGGATACTCCCTTCGAGAATTATCGTGCGCACCATCCAGACAGACAGACGGACGGACATCGCTAGATCGACTCCAAATGTCCTGAAACGGATTTGGTCCATAAAGACCTAGAGTCTGAAACTGATATGGCAAGTTTTGCCCGTATCACATGATATGTACCCTCCCTAGCCATATCGCTGAGGGTATAAAAACCTGCCTCTTGGTAATAACGTTCTAGTTCTCTTTAGACAAATGGTGCGCAAGGTCCCATAAAAGGTCAAAATAATAAACACATATGAACTCACTTCCCATTGTTATTACCTCTATTGGGGCAAGTGTGAAAGTGAAAGTCAAAAAAAAAGGACTTTTCGATGGCGTACTATCGTGGATAGCATAAAAGGGGATGTAAAAATGGTTAATATAAAAAAAACAGTAAAGAAAGTCTTAAAGTCGGGCGGGTCCGACTTTATGATACACTACACCACTTTGCTAATTTAGTAGAGCTCCGCATAACAATTAAAAGTTTTTATGGGAGAATTCAATCATACACGCTATGATTTAAAGTTCAAAGGACTAAATATGCCGAAGCATTTGTATCTTTTAAATTCAGACTTGTATTGGTGCACAATTAATTTGAGATCGGATAAAAATATATATGGGAGCTATATCCAAATCGGAACCGATTCAGAAAAAATTTGGCAAATATATTTTTGAGCTGTATTTGAAATATTTCCCTGAATATCGTTCTTACGGAGTGCATATTACGGCTGTGGGCAACAAATCGGATGAACAGTATATACGGGAGCTATAGCTATATTTGAACCGATCTTCACCAAATTTGACATACTAGCTTCTAGATTCAATTCGGTCGTAAGTGTCAAATTCCCATTTGGACAAATATTAGACGTTTGGTGCACAATAAAAGGTAAATCGGACGAAATTATATATGAGAGCCATATCCAAATCTGAACAGGTCTCGATAAAATTTAGCAAATGTATTTCTGAGCTGTATTTGATATATTTCCCCAAATATTGTTGTTATAGAGTGCATATTACGGCTGCGGAGGACAAAAATAACAAATCGGATGAACAATATATATGGGAGCTATAGCTATATCTGAACCGATTTCGATAAAATTTGGCATACTTATTTTCAGGCCTAATTGTATGTGCAAAATTCCATACTATTCGGGCTGATATTACACGTTTGGTGCACAATAAAAGGCAAATCGGACGAAGATATATATGGGAGCTATATCTAGATTTTGACCGATTATCTCCAATTTCAATAGAGTTCTTCCTTGGGCCTAACAAATGATTTGTGCAAAATTTCATCTGGATATAGCAATAAATGCGAACTGTACTTTGTTTACAAAAATACATGGACAGACGGACGGACGGACATGCATAACTCGACTCAGAATGTGATTCTATGCAGATCATCAAAAGAAACTATGGGATTATCTCGTTTCCTTTTGCCTGTTACAAACAAATGCACAAATATATAATACCCTGACCACTTTGTGGTTTTTTTATTTTAATTTTTGCTACCAAAATTCCCTTCTTCAATCATTTTTATAGCCTAAATTTTAATTTTTTTAAAATTTATTTCAGAATAGTATTTTCCAGAAATCGAAAACCCACCTACATGCCACTACTACATGCCTGTGTGGTTAAAGGAAATCTCTCTCAAGTCATCATAATTGTCGTATTTAATTTCGTTAACTTAAAATTTCCTCATATCTATGGTTGTCTTTCCCCGACATTTCCGGCCCCTCATGCCGGCCTCTAATTAGAATTGTTCTTTGTCTGTTAAAATGATTTTTGATGATGTTCTATTTCTTTTCGATTTCGTTGGCACCTTAAAAACTTAAATTGTCTACCTTCCCCCCAAAAATTCATCATCCAGCCACCACAGAAGCAGCAGCAGCAGCTGGTTTCTGTCAATAGAGCCTCAGCAAAGGACAATAGCCGTTCTTCTAATTCGAATTGTTAGCAAAAGCGTTATGAGGGAAGTTTTTTTTTTTGTTCGCCTTCACCATTTTCCATGTCTTCTCCGTTTCGTGTCAGTCTTTGCATTGTCCTATTTGCTGTTTGCTTCCCGCTTTGATATGTCCAAAAAGTTTTGTCTCTGTTTGCTATTTGCATGCACTAATTAAAAAATTCCTACTCCTCTTCATCCTCCTCCTCCTCCGAAGAAAAAGTTGTCTTTGGCTTTCGAATTTAAGCTTGGAGTGGTTGTTGGTGTTGTGGCACACTATTCGTTTTTTTTTTCTTTCACTTTACAAAAATAATTCGACATTTAAATTGTTGTTGCAACAACAACAACAGCAAATAAGAATAAGTCAAAGCTACGAAATTAAACAGCTGAAAAAAAACGGAAGATGCCAAAGAAAACACATCAAATTGAAGGCAAGCAGCAGCGAAAAATAAATCTAAGTTCTAGGACTCCTCATCCTCAGCGCAAGGAATGAAACTAAATGGAAAATAATGCCATAGAAATTTATTGAAGCATTCAATTATTTTAATACGTTGCGGAGGCGTAAATGTGGTCGTAATGAGGTCACTCGCCGTGAAAGTAAACGAAGGAAATATAAAGTGGATCATTTAAGGTTTATTTAAATATTATCAAGATTGGGGGTTCAGAGAATAGTTGGATTTTTAAGATTGTAGGTATTGTAAGGCTACAAAATGTTGACAGCGAACTAGAAATACCAAAATATTATCACCGTGCAACAAAATTCAATTTTTTTTCGATTTTTTTAGGGAAACCCAGAAAAGTACAGCTGATTACAATAATTACAGAAAACATCCAACAGATAATGAAATTAAAGCTAAAAAAATGGAGGACACATGTATCGGCGTTTGAAAAGTTTACATAGCAAAGTAACCTAAATAGGAGCACGAGTTCCACACTCATTTAAATTTCCTCATTTTTT